GACCCTTCGTATCCACCGACCCCGTTAGTGGTGCTGGGGACCACAGCCAGCTCCCAGTGACTGTCTCTGGCACAGGGAACACCCTGAGCCGGTGCAGCATCTGCAGCAGGGAGGGGACATCCCTTTGGGTTCCCTGGGGACAATCCCCCTGCTGTGGACACCCCTCTTCAAAGCCGGACATGGGGCAATGACTGACCCCAGGGTTATAATGAACTCCTCCAGGGTTGGGGACATGGGGTGCAGTGGGGTGCCAGGAGGGGTGGGGGGCGAGGGCACCCAGCACAAGCCCAGGCTGCAGATATTGATATTAAATTGTCTTTATTACACAGATACAGAGTTAAGAACAGACATAACCTGAATCATAAAGTTTACATCTTTCACAGGTCAAACATACAGTACACTTAGAGAAAGCGGGAAACAGCAAGGGGGGGGGACAGCATGCCGAAGGAAAGTCCTACCACGTCATCTCTCTGGGCTGGCCCCCAAAACCTGGCTCTGGTTTCCAGCCCCCCGGGGACCCCCGTGCCCCAGTGTCCCTGTCCCCAGGACTGGCAGGGTAATGCGGGCAGGGTTCAGCCCTACACAAAGGGGTGACCAGGGAACTGGTGCAGCTGTGAGCAAGGGGGGAACGGTGGCACAACACCTCCCTCCTGGGGCCATGACATTTGGTGGCATCAGAGGAACTCCCAGGGATCCCACTGTGACAGGGACACCCCAGAACAGTGCCTGGGACCTGGGAACAAGGTGGCATCTTGTCCCCAGCCTCAAACCCACCGGGATGCATGGGGCACCCCGAGGAGAAGGGGGGACCCCAGCATGGCCTGGAGGAGGAAGGCAAGGAGAGGGACATGGGGGACTCCAACAGTGATGGAGCAAAGTCCAGGTAGGTGTGGGACCCCTGCTCCAAGGTGCCCAGTCTCGCTGGCATGCAGGACTTTGGTTTCAGCTGGGATTTTGGGTTAGGAACACAAGGAAGGAGCTGGAGAGACCCTCACCCAGAGGAGAACCACGTCTCTCCTGCCCCCTCCTCCAGCCCTGTGTCACATTCAGCACCCAGCACCCCGGGCAGGCTGTCCCCACGTCACCAGCACTGTCCCCCAGCCCCAGCCATGATGATAAGGAGCAAACCCAACAAGGGGAGCCATGGGTGGCCATGGGGACCCGATCTGGCAAAGCACCGTGCCCAGCCACCCCAGCACCCTGTCCCCCCAAGCTGCCACCAGGATGTCCCTATCCCCCAGCACTGCCACAAAGCCACCAAAAGACATGGCATGGAGCATGTGTCCCTGCTCCCCCACACACCCTAACACCATTTCAGGGCAAAACCCCGCAGAAGTGCCCACTGCAACAGCCAGCACCTTCCCGGCCACCATGGTCCCCTCTGTGCCCGCATCACCCCGGCCCCACGGCCACACTGCTGCTGCCGTCCTCCCCGCATCACAAATTTTTGGGAAATATTACACTTTAAAGCTGTCGTTCTGGTTTGGACGTCGGCTGGCGCCGCGCCGCCCGTCCCCTCCCTCCCTCGGCTTTTGGTTTCAATGCAAGGTTCTGTAGGGTATTTTTATTATTTAAAAAAGAAGAAGAAGAAGAAAATAATAATTAAAACAACAAAAAAAGCAAAACAGAAGGGAATGAAAACGAGAGCAGACTCTGTGGAAATGCTCTCGTCTGTGGTTTCCCGGCGAGGCGGAGGTAGAGAGGCAGAGCCCTGGCGCAGAGCAGGGCTGGGGACACATGGGGACACACAGGGACACAGGTGGCAGGAGGGCAGGGATGGGCTGGACCCCTGGGAGAGCAGGCGGCCCCGCAGCAGGTGCATCTGCAATACTCTTATATATTACCTCTTCTCAGGAAACATAAGAAAAATAGACAATATTACATATGTCACACCATAAATAAAGTGAACGGTCACATGGGGGGGCAACCCCGCAAAGTGCCCAGCCCTGGGGTGCGGAGAACCCCTTGGGGTGATGCACCGAGGTCTTGGGGTGCACAGAACCTCCCCACGGGATGCACCCCAAGGCCTCAGAGTGCACAGAGCCTCCCCAGGGGGATATACCGAGGTCTTAGGGTTCACAGAATCCTCCTGGGGGGATGCACCAAGGTCTCAGGATGCACAGAAATCCCCCAGGGGGATGCACCTCAAGGCCTCAAGATGCACAGAGCCTCCACAGGGGGATGCACCAAGGTATCGGGGTACATAGAAATCCCCCAGGAGGATGCATTGAGGTCTTGGGGTGCGCAGAAACCCCCCAGGGGATGCACCCCAAGGCCTCAGGGTGCACAGAACCCCCTGGGGTGATGCACCGAGGTCTTAAGGTGCACAGAGCCTCCCCAGGGGGATGCACCAAGGTCTTGGGGTACATAGAAATCCCCCAGGAGGATGCATTGAGGCCTTGGGGTGCACAGAAACCCCCCAGGAGATGCACTTCAAGGCCTCAGGGTGCGCAGAGCCTCCCCTGGGGAATGCACCAAGGTGTTGGGGTGCACTGAATCCCCCCCAGGGGATGCACCCTAAGGCCTCGAGGTGCACAAAGCTGCACCAGGGCTTGGTGCTGGTGGCACAGGGCTGGTGACGTTGCTTTGGGGGTGCCCCATGCACCGAGCTCTGCTGCGACACAACACAGCCCCTGGGTGACCGGCAACAGAACCGACCCAGCCCCAAGCCCTTCCCTCTTCTTCCTCCCCTACAGAAAACACACAGGATGGTTTGGGGTTGGTTGTTTTTTTTTGCAAATGCGGAAAAACTACAGCTCCTATCGAGCACACGACTTCTGGTTGCCTCCGGCCAGCCTCGCTCCCCCACGCCACAGCCTCCAGTGGGTTCTCATCACCTTTTATTTGGCAAAATGTCTCTTATTATTATCACTATCATCATCATCATCATCATCATCATCAATTATTATTATTTTTCGTTTTTGGACCTCTGCAAACACTATTTACATTCACATTAGGGTACAGCACTCCTGCCCTGGGAGCCGGGGACTTTCCGTATTGCACTCCCGTCCTCTGCGCTTTGTACAACGGTGCGAGAAACACAAAATAATCGACATTGTCCCGGGCTGCCTCCGCGGCCAGGAAGGAGGTGGCGCTCGCTTTCCTTTCCTTTCCTTTTTCCTCTTCAAAATCCTTGCAGAATAAATCCAATGGGGGGGGGTGGGAGCAGCCTGGCAGCGAGGGGCTGGGGAGGGGGGGTTCCGGCTGCAGAAAACCTCAAATCTGTCTTTTAATCTCTTTTATTTTTAATTTTCTTTCTCCGGGGTGGCGGTGGGCAGAGGTAGAGATGTGCCGGCTCCGGCTCCGGCTGCGCCACCGTCTT